AGAGAGAGAGAGAGAGAGAGAGAGAGAGAGAGAGAGAGAGAGAGAGAGAGAGACGTTCTCTATGTACTTTCCCCACATTTAGTTGCCTTGGCTAAGAAGCCCTAGGACCTTTGTTCATATCAAAGAATACCCCTGTTCACTTTGCCTTTCCCTTCACTTTTCCCAGGACTATAATATTTACTGTTATATGAGGGTGACAAGAACTGTGCCCACTATGACCAAGTATGATCACACCATATCCACACATTTATTTTCAATTGTATTTCTAATATGCCCTTACATGAAACATAGGGACTGGGTTCTCACAAAACATCCAGCTCTTGGTTAACCGAACATAATTGCTATGTCCAGGCAGACTTCATCTGGGCTGCAAAAACTCTAGACAATGATTAGATTGATCTCTTTTACTGCCACCTGGCGGCCAAGCAGATTTGCTGCCCAGATATGATAATTCTAATACAACATGTTCTGCCTAAACAAATAAATGGTGCCACTTAAATCTGATAGTCTGGATCACACAACGTAAGACAACGCCTAAGCTCACACAGCAAACTGCATTACAAATTATCCAGTTCCATTTTAACCTCAACTAGCATGGTATGCAAATCCAGCCTGGAAGTTGTCTTAGCTAAACCAGAGCACTGGTCTGGTGAGATCGGTATTGTTAAGACAGATTGACAGTGGCCACCCAAAGCTTCAAGCGGGACTTTTTTCCAAGCCTATCAGAAAATAATTGGAGTCAGACTTCTGCATATAAAACATATGTTCTATCACTGAGCTACTGTTCCTTTTGCCTTTTTCACATCTATCACAAGCCAGAGGTTCTGACACTGGACTGTATCCACCAGCCAAGGAAAGGAAAGCCTATGAAATTGCTGATACCATACAGAAGACTTTTAAAAAATGTATACTGGGGGAAAAAATACAGATATCCTAGACTCAGAAGTCGCTACTGCAATTTTTATTATTGCATCCCTTTTAAAAATGAGGAGGAAGAGAAGATGGAAGGTGGAGTGACTGTTACAGAGAACATGAAAGTGTTGAATATAATACAGCAGCAGGAGGAAGAGAATGACTGCTCCCCCTGCTCAGGTGCCTCTGAAAGTCAGCCCCTCTGTGCCAAACGACATTTCAGCCACCCCGTGAAACAGGAATGGAGTTGGGAAGGGGAGGAAGAAACTAGAAAGAATTAGGAAGGTGGCAAAGTTGTTCTTAGAGTTCCTAGATAGCTAACACATCAACAGCTGGGAGAAATACTTTTAAAAATTCAGACAGCACCAACATAAAATAAAATAATGGTACAAAGGAGAAGCCTGAAGACATCACCATCTTCTGGTCTTCTTGTTGCACAGTTCTGAGAATGTTCCCCGGGGACGGTTTGTTCCTACACACGCTATGTCCAGTTGATATTCCAACCCTTTACAAATCCAGTTCCAGGTCCTCGAGTTCCTCTTCCAAAGCTTTCCGCCGAGCCAGCTTGTCTAACTGCTCTTTGCTCGGTTGCTTGATCTCCCCAGAGTCAATCCGCGCCTGCAGCTCCTCCACCTGCCGTAGTTTCTTTTTCAGGTTTTTTATTTTCTTGTTCTTCTCTAAGGTGGCGGTGGCAGAAGCAGACGAAACATCCCTGCTACCAGCAGGGGCTCTTGGGTTGCCATCAGGCACAGCCAGCTTACCATCCCCGCAGCTGCTTGGTGTCGCTGACAAGGTTGTTTTCTCTAGAGACTGAATCAGGTCATCTGCATCTCGATCCCCCTTTTCCTGCTGCTGTTTTCTCTTCTCCTTTCGTTTGAGATTCCTCTTAGCTGTTTTGGAGAGTCCCGTCTCTCCACCCTCGGGTCCCTTTGAGGTTTGCCGGGCCATAGGTGTGTTAACTTCCGGATTCAAGCCTGGAGGTAACTCTGGCTTGCTTTTAAAGAACTTCACATATTTATTCTCATACCTGCATGGAATAAAAGATAACGTTGTATAAAGAAAGCCCATGTTTCCTTTGGAAGCTCAAGGTAGCACACACAGAGGATTACCGTCACTTTTTCCACATAAAGAACTTCTGTAAAATAGGTTGGATTGAGCAGAATGACTGGTTGGAAGCCTCCTTAGAAGTGCTGCAGTTACAAAGAAGCGCTATCTGGGAATGATGCAGGTTGTTATTACAACATTTGGAGGACACCAAGCTGGGGAAGACTAACTTAAGAGCACACCGGTCATCTGGAAAGGGTTATTTCGTACATATAGCAACCTACAAAATGGAAGGATTGTCTCAAGTGTGTGGCTCAGGTCGGGTGGTTGCAGCAACCTTTCACAGTAGTTTTTCAGAGAGCGGACTCTCTCTTTCCACCCCACTGCAAGCAGTCTAACAATTCATGTTGCTTTATACCTCCTAGCTGAACACTGGAACCTGGGACAATCACTTCTGGTCTAGAAGGGCTACGGCTGTGCAATGTTCCCATTCGAAGGCAAAAAGGTGCTGCATAGCATGCAGGGGCGTGCACAGAGCACCTGTCTTGAGCTCCTTAAATGAAACACAACCTTCCCTGGGATCATGCTGCAACTGCAGAGGACCGCTATCCAAACCTGGGGAAAATTGCAGCTGCTTTAAGGAGTCGCAGACAGGTGCTGCATCAGCATCCCAGACACGCTGACACCCTTTTTTGCCTTTAAATCTGGCTACTGCATAGCTCCACAAAATGCCTCAATGCTGTGTGTTTTCTGTGTTTCCTGTTGCTTCATATTCCATCTAAATGAAAATAGTTCAGCAGGCATTGCATCTTTCTTGCTGCTGACTGGATCAACAGGCATTCTTTTAGGACACTTTTTAGGACCATCTAAAGAGGGTTTCCCCAGCCTGGTGCCCTCCAGGTGTGAGCTATAAAAATCATTATTACTATTACAGTCCTGGGAAAAACACTGTGAACTGTTTAGAATTATTCATAATCCTACAGTACTGTGACATACAATGTGATGTGAGCTTTGTTTAGGTCCTATTAATAGAGAAAAGAGATTCCAGCTAAACAGCACCCCAATTAGTGTACTATGTCATGTCTTTATGGAACACAATGAGCCAACATTTACTATCTTTGCTGGAAAAAGTATGTGAACATTTAGATTTAGAAACTGATGGCAGCAGTGACTTCAACCAAATGTTTCCTGTACTTGTTGATTAATCCCACAGATCAGCTTGGGATCAGTATTTTGGTCTATTTTGGCTTAAACTAATTAATATTGGGCTCATTAATATTTCTGAACTGCTTATGAAACATTTCAATTGGATTATGTTCAGAGCTTTGACTTGGCTATTCCAAAGTGTGAAATTTCTTCTGCTTCAGCAATTCTGTGGTAGATGTACTTCTCTAAGATCATTGTCATGCTGTATGACATTCATTTAAACTTCAGTTCATGGATATTCTGACAATCTCCTGCAGAAACTGCTGGTATAATCCAGAATCCATTGTCCCCTCAATAACCACCAAGATCCTAAGGCTGCAAATCAAACCCAAGTGATAGTCCTCCCATTGCCTGTTTCACAGTTGAGATGTGGTTCCTTTATGGAATAGAGTGTTTCGTTTTCTCCAAACATAACGCTTCCCATTAATGTGTCTGTCTGTTTGCATCTGTGTGTGTGTGTATTCATTAGTGTCACATGTTTCCACTGAACATTGCTCCAAAAGCCTGCTGGATCATCCAGGTTTTCTTTGACAAAGTTGAGATGGGTGGCAAGTTGTTTTCTGGAGAGCAGTGATCTTCTTGATCTTCTCCCTGCACACCATTCTTGTTCAATGTTATCCTTATGGTGGATTCCTGAACACTAACATTAAAGAATGGAAGAGTTGCTAGCAAATCCTTTGCTGTTACCCTGGGATTCCTTTATGACCTCCAGGAATATTGTATGGGGTGATTTTTGTTGTTTGTTTTATTACTTCTGGGAATAGTAATGATGGTGTTGCATTTCCTTCAATTGCACATTATCTGTTTGACTGTGAATTGATGGAAGTCAAAATCTCTGGCAATGGTTTTGTGGTCCTTTCCAGTCTCATGAGTGTCAATAGCCCTTTTTCTGAGGTTCACAAAGATCTCTCGATAGGAATGATTCAGTTCCACAAACCTGTGTTGTGAAGAGCAGCTCCCAATGGTGGAGCATTTTTTTTAATTGGGAAGGGCCCTCAAACTCACCTCATTGTCTGGAATATCTGACTCAAATTACCCCTCTAAAAAAGCTGATTATTGTGGAGTCTCAATTTTTTTTCCAATAAAGACAGTGAATGTTGGCTCAATATGTTCAATAAAGACATGACACAGTTAGCTCTTTGAGTACTGTCTGTTTATTGTCTCTTTATCTATTATAAATCTCTTTATCTATTAATAGGACTTAAATGAAGCTCTGTTCACACTGAAGTCATAGTCCTGCATAGTTCTAAAGGATTCACAAATTGGATCTCACCAGTGTAGCCATAAAACTAAACTTTCACAATCAGCCAACAACTTTTAACACAGCAAAAAGAAAAGACTGAAAAAATTATCCATTGTTGCAGGTAAGGAAAAAATATAATGTAGTAACTAGTGTTCAGAAAGATATTGCCCTTGAACAGGGGAATTTCATTTCAACCATCACAGCTAAAGAAATGCTGTAAGGGGAAAAGGAAACTGAGATAGTCAGAATTACAAGCATATATTGTCTTGAACATCTGAATGTTCAAAAGGTCAGTAGTTGGGATCTAAAAAAAACAAATCTAAAGCACTAAATGCTTAATGAGAATTGTGAGCTTTTCCTATCAAAAGCAGACCAAATTCCTCCTGATTTGAGGCCATATCACTAGAGAAAACAGTTTTCAAGAGCATCTTTGATTCCAAAGACTGAAGAAGGTGAGGGAAGATTGAGGGCGTGTTTGTGTCCTGTGCTATACCAGACACACTGCCAAGCCACATTTTTTGCTTTCTTGTCCCCCCACCGTCCCATACCCAAGAAGCAACAGTCTTGTGCCACCTTGAAGACTTTTTTTTTTATCTGTTCAATCATGTCTGATTCTAGGAGACTGCCTGGACAAGTCCCTGCAGTTTTCTTGGCAAGGTTTTTCAGAAGTGGTTTGCC